AAAATAATAGTATTTTATGTCAAAAGCATTGTTGATCTGAACTGAGGATATTAGTTCATTTTAAGAAGTACATTTGTAATTACAGAGACCATTCAATGAAGCAGATATTGTCTGGATGGTAAAGAAGGGAACTGTATCAAAGCTAGAAGCCAGCAAAACCAGGCAGGATAAACAACAGTACAGGATGATCAACTCCAGCACCGCTATAAGTTACAGACGTGGATGTGTTCCTTAAAAGGTAATGAGAAGTTGAAGAATAGAGGTAGCTTTTACAGCGTTATCCTGTGCACCTATGAGATACCAAAAATAGCTAACCAGAGAGGTAAAAGCCTAAGAAATACATAAACAGCTCTAGCGTTTAGAAGAAAGCCAGGACCAAGAGAGAAAGACTAGCAGCAGGTAGAGAGCCCAAGAGAACACAGACTGCAGAGCTGTGGAGTGTCATCATAAGAGAAACAGACAACAGGCACAAAAGTGAGGAAGTCACTTGCAGAGGTAGCTTGAAATGAGAGTCACTGCTGGGGCAAGAGTAAGAACAAAGGAAAGAGAGATAAGGGAGGAATGACAACAAGCTTCAGACTTCCACCAGATGAAGATCTGAGGCCAGGGAAGGCTAGAATAAAGGAGTCAGAAAGCATAAGGAGTAAACACAACAGGGCCTGCTGTTATAGGGAGAAAAAAATCAACAACAACATTGATTGTTTTCCAATAGTAGTACCTCCTGAATTGTTTTATTCATCTTATACCACAGTAATTTGTCAGACCTAAGAGTTTTTATTTGCATTTTTAAATAAATTTAATAAATTTGTTAGTGAAAAACATTTCACACCATTTTTTTTTTACCTGTTTATAGTTACATGTTATCAAGAAAACAGAAAGCACAAACTCCTCTGTCCTGATGACTTTCCCGTGGTGGAAAACCTACTGACTGTTATTCAAATGTCAAATGAACACAGAAATCTTCGCCATATCATCAATCGCAGTTTGTAATGCATTATACTTATTATAC